CCATCCACCCATCCATCCTTCCATCCATCCACCCATCCATCCTTCCATCCATCCACCCATCCATCCATCCATCCATCCACCCACCCACCCATCCATCCTTCCATCCATCCATCCATCCATTCTTCCTTCCATACATACATATACCGTCAGGTCTCGGGTGCAGCATCTTGAGCAGGGAGGTCCAGACATCTCTCTCCACATCTTCTTTTAGCTCTTCTGGGAGGACTCCAAGGAGTTCCCAGGACAACTGAAAGACATACTGTCTTCAAAATTTCCTTGGTCTTCCCTGGGGTCTCCGCCATGTTGACAATGTCCCTAGGGAGGCGTCCAGGGAGCATCTTTACCAGATGCCTGAACCTCCTCAACTGTCTCCTCTGGATGTGGAGGAGCAGTGGTTCTCCTCTGAGTCTCTCCTGATAACTGAACTTCTCCCCCTGTCTCTGAGGGAGAGTCCAGCTCTGCAGAGGAAACTCATTTCAACCTCCTGGATCCACGATCTCATTCTTTCAGTCTCTACCAGAGTTCAGGACCAGAGGTGAGGGGAGGAACGTAGACCGACCAGTAAACAGAGAGCTTTGTCTTACAGCTCAGCTCCCTCTTCACCACAATGGACCGGCACAGAGTCCACAATACTGCAGACACGGCACAGACCAATCTGTCGACCTCCTGCTCCATTCTTCCCTCACTAGTGAACAAAACCCAGAGGTACTTGAACTTATCGTCTTGAGGCAGCACCTTAAACTTCTCGTCTTGAGGCAGCACCTTACTCCTCCAGAGAAGTCAATCCACCCTTTTCTGACTGAGGACCATGGCCTCAGATTCTGGAGGTCCTGGTCCTCATCCCATCTGCTCCGCTTCAGTCACAAACTGCTCAAGTGAGAGCTGGAGATCACGGCACAAGAATGCCAACAGGACCACATCACCTGCAGAGCAGTACAAAACAGGCAAAACTTTATTGCTCTGCTTTTGTTGATGAGCGACGATGAAGTGTTTGATTTAGTGCACGTGTTCTTGGAGACATGCTGGCCTTCTAATGACGTTCACTGTTCTGAAACGTCTCTCGAGGTTTGGAGCATTATCACCAAGCAAATAAAATTATATAACTGTAGTTTTCACAATTTACCTGAGGAAGAAAACTAATAAAGATTAAGAGATATAATTATTTCTTGGTTCAAGTAGAGTTAAAGACACTGAAAGAGCTAATCACACACGGTTTCACTGCATCAGTCAGAATGAAGCTTTGATTTCACCAAATACAACAGGGACCTGAAGACTGCACACCATTCATTTCTTTCACTTTGGCCACCGGGCGCATCGTGCACCTGCAGCGCACTCATATTCCTGGGTCAGGACAGACAAAAAATATTTGAGCATAAACGATTCTAACACTGAGTTTAAAAAAATATAAAGACAATAATAATACTACATTAAAAAATGAATAAGCAATAATAAAAATCCTCCAGGCTTGAATAAAGAAAGGCCAAGTACAGCACAAATTTCATCATTGTATAGAAACATACAATGATGACAACACATAGCACTTTACT